TCCCCTGGCTACCTTTCCTTGCTCTCTCCCCTGGCTACCTTTCCTTGCTCTCTCCCCTGGCTACCTTTCCTTGCTCTCTCCCCTGGCTACCTTTCCTTGCTCTCTCCCCTGGCTACCTTTCCTTGCTCTTTCCCCTGGCTACCTTTCCTTGCTCTCTCCCATCTTCCCTGGGGGCCTTGTAGGTCCCTAGAGATCTCTCTCCCACTCGCAGACTGTCGTCTCTGCTGCTGCTTTTACATGGCTTGTGTATTCAGGGTTCTCGTTGTCCCCAACGGGTTCCGTCCTGGCATCCAAAGTCCTTTTCCCTGCTGGCAGGCTTCACTCTACCTGGACAGCAGCTCTCTTCCCTGCAGACTCAGGCCCTCCCCAGGTTTCCTCTGCCCAGGCTCCTCTTCTATGTTTCCTGGGTTCTGTGCCCTGCCGCCCAACTAGCTCTGTCCTCCCGCGGTGCTAGTGCGGCTGCATGTGTCAGAAGCTGCAGACGCACCACCCTGTCTGCAGCGTGCGATACATTCGGTCGAGAGGAAACTCTACTCGCTGTTAATAAAATTCCCATGATAAGCTGGCCATACACTATGTAATTTCATCTGGTTCTTCATGAACCAGTCGGAATAAGCACAGTGGTTGCTGCTGGCACTCTTCCGACCGGCATCCATTGATCAGAAAAAAAACGAAGGAGCTGGATGGAAAATCCGAACAGTGATGGCAGTGTAGGTGACAACCATTTTTTCATCAAGACAAGAAGCCTCTGTACTGGGCTGCTTCCTGTTCTTTCATAAAGTGAGCAGATAGTAAATATTTAAAAGTCCCCATTTATAAATGAACAGGAAATTATGTACAGCATTTCCTGTTTATTCATAACTGGGGCCATTGTGATTACTACCATTGAACGATAGTCCACTCTACATCCTGACTGCTCCGTCACCTCCTGCCCATTACCGGAGCCGAGCTCTCCTCTCCACTCCATATTCTATAACAGCTCTTCTCCCCGCCTCCCGACAGCTTCTCTTCTCCCCTCTGGGCACTGCCAGCTGGATCGGCTCTGTGTTCCCTCCGATCACCACTGCCTCTGCCAACACAGGCGAAGGAGAGCAACGGGGATAGAAGGGGACATAGACCAAAGCTTGCAGCTGGCACCCAGCTAGGAGGAAAGAAGCTGGAGATGCACCGCATTTTTAGCCTTTTTTTTTATACGATCAGCATTTTGCTCACATTACCATTATCAGAGGCCAAAATTTCGGCGCATCCCTACTATAATATATTGTTGCCTGTAACCACTTTATCTGTACCTGGTAATCCTGCAAATAACAGTTCCTGTCCCTGGGTAGCTATAGTCAATCCTCCACTGTATCTATGAAGGGAGACATAGTTATAACCCAGTCAGGACTACAAATACCTGCCTTTGTTCATCTCCATTACACGGGGGATGGGAAGATAAGCAGTTTACAGAACAAAGATAACATTCTTTTGGCTTCCAGTTCAGCTTAGCCTGCATTTCTGGCAAGGTCAACCAGTATTTTCTGTATTTGCTGAAATGTTTTAGTCATCCAAAGACTGGTAAGCGGCAATAAATTAAATTTTTGTTGGGTTTTGTCACCCTTCAAGGCCCAAAGTTATATTTAACTCACCATCAGGATCCTCTGCTGGCTGAATACTCATATAAGGTTCTCCTTTGTCTATGCGGGACTGACGTTGGCGACTTTCTTCCTCTAGGGCAGCTTCGGCTCTGCTTTTGGCATTGATGTAAGCGAGATAAGCAGGCGAGTTGTGGTAGGTTTTCATTGATTCATTGTACTCGATCTGAAGGAAATCACACAAAGACCCACAATTATTAATTATTTTAAACAATAGGTATGAACCTGACCGTGATTTCACCTAGATGATGATCATGTAAAAGCTACTCCTGTATTTGTTCTTTTTCACCGTTATTTTATTGGGGTGTTTGTGCATGACACTGTGTTCACATTATAAAATATAAGCACTTTCACGCTACATTCTAGGCGACATCTACTGCTTGGTTAGAATAAAAATCTATCTCGAGATACGTTTACACAGACATGGTGTCCGAATGGCGAATATATATAATATTTTTTGGTTTGTTTTCTTATAGATGCACCGAAATTTCGGCCAAAAATGGGACTGTGGGCAAAATTACCATAGCGGACAAAAATTATCTGCATTCCTAGCTTCTCTCATCCCCGATGGGCAACAGTCTGTGTCCCCTCTGATGCCTGCTGCTCTTCCCTGCCTGTGTAGGGGACACAGACTGGCGTCCACCGGGGAGGAGAGAAGCTTTCAGGATGCCTTGCGGGAGGAACGCTGTCCAGCTGTTACAGGAGGCCGAGCTCTCCTCCCACAAGGCCCCGCTCAGCCTCCTATGACAGGCGAGTCAGGATGCCGAGCGAGGCAGTGTGGGAGGAGAAAGCTGTCAGCTATCACAGGAGGTCAAGCTCGGCCTCCTCTGACAGGCGAGTCAAGATGGAGAGCAGAGTACAAGCGCTCAGGGCTGATCACGGAGTGTTGATAAGCATACTATGTCCTCAGTTAAATACAGGGTCTCCAGTTATGAATAGAAAGTGTTCTACATCACTTCCTGTTCATTCATGATTGTGGACATAGTAACTGATACTATCTTCACAGTTTATGAAAAGACAGGAGTACTCAGTATAGAAGAATCCTGTTCATTTATAACAGGGGCTGCAGAAAGGAGGACTCAATCTCTTTTTCTATTTTAAAACGGAAATATATATCTCTATCCATCTGTGTGTGTACACACACACACACACACACACACACACACACACACACACTAGGGCCTGTATCAGCCTTTGAACTTGTGCTGATGGCATCAGTTCAGACGTGTCTGGGAAGACTCAGAATTCATTGACAGGTGCAGTTGACTTTCTATCTTAAAATGTATCTGTAATAAATATGTAGTTGAAGTATAACAGATGCAACTACATGTGCTTGCATGTGCCCAGATTTGCAGAGCGCCTAGTCCCAAAACACAGGGCACTCCGTGAGTCGGAGCTCTCGCCTCCCCCTCCTGTAGTGTATATTGAAGCAGATTATTGAGACCGGTTCTTGCATTAGTGAAGATGAATGTGAATGAGGGGCGAGAGCCAACTTCAGCATTGCTGACTTACATTTGTAGAGCAACCAACTTGTGCTTTGGAGTTCCAAAGGAGCTATGGAAGTTGCATCAAGGTACGTGCAGAAACCCGCTTTCTGCTGTCCGTATCACAACTCTACAAGTCGGCTTTAACCCTTACTAGACCTCTACAGACTGGCCACTTTTTCACATTTAAATACACAGCCGCCAAATTAAAAGGCAGCATTGTAGCTTTTTAGCACTCTTGTCTTGAAGCCCCTGGTTGATACTGATCAGAGCCTCTGCGTTGAGTTTATATGTTCTTGTTTAAGGTTGTATAGTTCATTTGAGTTCACAGGACATAGGTTCATAGGACATTAGAGTATGGGGCTTTGGGTGCCAAAAATTGGTAATTTAATGCTAAGAACCCGTCCGCTACCTTCTACTGTGCTGACCCTAGGCTTCAAGATTTCCTGAATCAGCGACCCAGTACAAGTATGAAGAAAACTACAGACCAGTGCACTGTAGTATTCAAGCAAGAGGATCAGCATAACAAGGAGACAACTAGTATTTTCTACAGAGGATGACAGCAATGAAGCCTCCACAGTTCTCTGCTGGCAGGTTTACCTTAAAATTTGAAGTCATAAACCCAACACCCTGACCCTTAACCTAGCTAACCCCAAAAACGTAACTATAAGTCAACTATGCTGTTGATTTAACTTTTATGCCATAAGTAATCGTGTTCAAAAAGTCCCATGCTGAGAAGTAACACCACCAACATTGTGGCAATTTAAAATTGAAGATCTATCTTTCTGGCTGCTTCAAGTTTCTGGCTTCCCATGATCCAAATATGTATCAGTAGATTGACTTTTGACCAACCTAGCCCTACGGTGAGTGTAATACAGATATTACCGTGTTTCCCCGAGAATAAGACACGGTCTTATATATTTTTTTTCCCACAAAAAAAAAAACAAACACACTAGGTCTTATTTTCGGGGGATGTCTTATTTATTTTTTTTCACCATTGAACATCCCCTCCACATACTTTTTTCTACCATAATTTAAATTAGATACAATATGCTGTGGAGGCTGAGGCACACAGGTGTCACACAGAGCAGATATATGGAATGTACTGTATCACACAGTACCTGAAGGCTGCAGCTGTCCTGGAGCTCTCCTCTCTGATGCCGTCCAGGGAGCCACCTCGTCGAACGGACCAGTCAGAAGTTCCCTAACCTCCCCTGACCTCACTCCGACACCACTGGCAGTGCCGCTGCCTGCTGGGAAATGTAGTTTTCAGCGGTAGCTTTCTATGTACCGAACTAGGTCTTATTTTCGGGGTAGGTCTTATATTACAGAAATCTCTGAAGATAGCGCTAGGTCTTACTTTCGGGGTAGGTCTTATTTTCGGGGAAACACGGTAGATTGCAAGTTTCTTGGGAAGAGGGACATAACAAAAAAGGCACTGTGGTTAAGGTTGTTTGTCCTTTTTTTCATCCTCTCGGGTTGAGGTTGATCCAGCCCTAATGTCTGACCAAGAAAAGCAGACCATTGAGACGCATGCCCATTCCTTTATGCATCATTTCATCATTTGGAACCAACGCTAACTTCTACTCACCTGTCACGTTTTTGGCACAATCCTATTATAGTGCTTGCACTTTTTCCTCCACAGTAAATGAGAATACCGTCCAACAAGTTGGAAAAGGTCTGTATCCGATTGTTGACAGCACTCAACTTTAACACCAGGAAGCCACCTCACGGCCAATCCATCTGACCATTTCGGCAGATGCTCAAATCAAGCGAGGTAGGAAGTACAGTTTATGACCATACTGCCGGCAGATGGAAGCTTATTTATTAAGTCATGTGATCCTGTGTAAGGGAGCAATCTAATCTTTTAATTAGTGCCATACAAGTCATGGCTATCACTCCATAATGGCACTTTTGGGTGGGCACCTAAGGATGAACCACCAGTAGACTCCGTATAGATCTTAGACTCCAACAGTTGGCTCATCCACAAGACTGTAAAACTGCTGTCGGGGCACAAAAGGTCTCATTCTTGCATTTCTCAGCATTACTGAAAATCCATCTGTACTGGACTATGAGGCTTTGTAATGGATGTGACAGTTGGGCAGAACTGGGAATTCTGGTGGAGGTCTCACCAACGAAAAGCATTTGATGCCAGCATGAGATTCTACTTGCCAGCACACACCACAAAGAATTATAGGTTTTCAGAGCAGTTGGCCACTAGACACTTTCTTATGAGCACTAGCATACTGTATAGAGTGCCAGCACTGGTCAATGTTTCACTGATGGTATGAGAATATTCTAACCACAAAAGCCTCCATTTAGGAAACATGCAGAGCTGTCCAAAATGGATAAATCACAGATGACTGATGGCTTTAGAACATGGGAGCAAGGTATACACCGCTCTATTTTCTTCGCTCAACCGGCAGGTTGAACGAAGAAAATATAACAGACTCCTCCAGGAACGCTTACGAGTGTGGATGGCGGAATCCCCGCTGCAAGACTACAATGCAAGATTGTCTGCAAGCTCCGTTCGGCCAACAATTTTCCAACCTGCTCCTTTGATCAGATGATCGACTGATGCCGGGTGGAAGGGTGCCAACAGGGGCACCCACTGTATGAAGCTTGGCCAGTCCATCAAAGACTGGACGAAATTCGCAGTGTGCAGCCTACATGAGAAGATTTTATAACAAAAACTTGCACAGTAAGTACATTTGCCATTTCTAGTTCCTGCGGAACGAAATGTCAATGTCTGTACAGAAACAGCTCATGTGCCACTATAAACTGAAAAAAGAACAACCAGAGATATGGAATGCACCACGGCAACAAAACACAAGCTTCATGCATGAACATTACATAATGCACAGATGTCCCTTGGAAAGCAAAATAAATCTAGAATACAGTTTATAGAGGAAGTCGCTCGCAACATTCACATAATGTCTTACATTATAGAGTGGATTATGCAGTGTACAGAAAACAGAGCGGTAACATGTTTGGTCTATAGGTGCCCATATGGATAGTACGTTTATAAAGAGGGATTAAAGATCAGGAAAACGATTTTCCCTTTGCATTAAATCACTTTACCCTACCAGACTTAATCCAAACCAGTGGTAAGCAAATTCCAGCCTTCCAGCTGTGGCAAATCTACAGATCCCATCATGCATCTGTCTCTGGGAGTCATACATGTGGCTTGCAGTCTTAAAATGCTTCATAAGATTTGTAATTGTACCACAGCTGGAGGGCCAGAGTTTGCCAATCCCTCATCTAAACCATAGGATAACCATTTGCTGGTGGATTTTGCCAAAGAGATCCGTTGTCTGCCTCGGTAGTAAAATTCAGTCTTCTACCAAGGTCAGCCTGTCAGTGTGAAGGGTTACATCATGAGTGAGACCTTAGATTTGGGATATAGTCTACCAAAAGGGACTTCACTGGGTGTGGCATGGTATCATTGGGGAAGTGGCCAGAGCCAGGCAGACCGAACGTGGAAGCAAGCAGGTATAATACAGACAGACAACACCCTAAGATTGCCTATAGTCTTACACAGATGACTCAAAACCCAGGTTTAGAACAAAGGCATGCAACCTTTTTATTTTTTTAAACTCTGTGTCCTACAATCCAATCGGAGAGTTGCATTGATAAAATATATCCAACATAATTCTACTGGGAACCATCTATTTGCCCAAGTAGAAACAAATCTAATGAAAACTCTGCTGCACTGCACGTCTAGCATATTCAACTCGGGAGGACGCTAGTTTGTGTCCTCCTGTTACCCTAAGGAGAACTATGGGGAAAAGCCCTAACCCCATAGTTCTCCTTTAAGCATTTACCAGTGAATGAAGGGTCTTTATAAATCTATACAACCCTTATTTTAATGTAGTGGAGCAAAAATGGATCATATTTGGAGACCACTAGGGCACTCTAGCTGCTGAGGGTCAATGAAATCTGCACATCTGAGCTGTTCACAATGGAAGCAGCCTGTGCAAACTGCAACCAACGACATCTTCAGATATGTATATATTGCATCACCTTATGAACATTACAGCACCATGATTGCCCCTCTTGCAGGTAAATGACAGGTTTGGAGAATACATATTTCATACATTTTATGTTACATAGCCCATTTACAAAACCACATGCAATACAGTGGCAATATAACCAGCACAGCTCAAAGAACACGTGAAATCAATGTACTAACACAGGCCCAACTGGAATACAATGCAAGTCAGGTAATACTGCTATACAGATTCCACAATGAGGGTTGGTTTCAGTACATAGATGACTATGTAGTACTGAGTAAAGTGATGAATATTTTAATTATAAGAAATCAAATCAATGATGAGCATTTTAATTAAAATATGCTTTATAGACACTAACGTGCCTCTGGTCTAAACGCAAGGCAACCAACCTGTATTATTAAAGGCATCAATGAAGTATGGATCCATAATAGAAGGATGTAGCATATCTAATGTTAACGCTTCAACATACACGAGAATACCCAATGACACATTGGACTATTCCTTAGCAATTTTACAAATTAAAACAAATATTTGACTTTGTTTCTATTAAGCAGCAATCCTCCAAGCTAGCATCAGGCAACCATAGTGGGGAAATCCCTGAGGCATCTTAAAGGACACTATCCCTGTATGAAGGTGATCCTATTTCAATAAGCAGCAGTGCGGACAGTATAAGGACTAGGACTCTTAACTATTCCAAAATGAGCTGAGTCTGTAAACTCAATATTGAGCCCAACGCTCCAGAGAGTAGAACAATTACTATAGGAAGGACCAAATATTCCACATATTCATTGTATCAATTAATATTAACATTGCTATTAAGGTAAAATAGGGGCAGAGGTTTCTTTCCATGAACAATGGAGATGAATCTGCTAAATGGGGATCATGGACCTAATCCTGAGGTTTTCCAGCCTGGGACCTAGTGAACAGCAGTATCAACCCTTACACTCTACAGAAAACAGCAGCTCAAGCCTACAGAGTGGCACCTGAGGCTCTACTGGGACATTTTAGAAGGATTTGATTGTTCTCTTATCTAAATACTAATTCCTCGTACCTTTTCAGCTTCATATTCGTTCAAGTACTCTTGCTTCTCCTCATCGGTTAGGTCACGCCACATCCCACCAATGATCTTGCCAATCTCCCACAACTTAAGGTCAGGGTTGGAAGCCTTCACTTGGTCCCAGACCTATTCAGAGACATTAAGGGTGGCGGAGAGGGTTTTTGTTTTAAACTACTAAAATGTCTGCAGGTTTCGGCGATGTACAATCTTTATTCTAGATTTATTCTACAGATATACAGGGGTGATCGGGAATCTATTAAGGTGGAGACAGACAGCAGCACCTCCCACAGCCCATCGCTTACCTTTCGGCTGTACCTCATGTATGGCATCAGTGGCTTATCCGGGGGCTTTGGTGGTTTTGGGATGGTAATCCCAGATGAGGCCTAAAAGGAAAAGCAGACATGAAAGTTAAACTTCGATAGCAGCATATAGAGACGTTCTCTAACAAACTGCATGCTCGTTACTAAGGGTCATATCTTCATGTAATTTATGTATCTCAACTGACAGACCTCAGTATGGCTTTCCATCACTCCATGCAGGGTCTACCTTATATATGCCTCCAATCAGTAACAGCAAAATATTCACTGGCCAATTAAGCCACCTGACACTTTTTTAGATCTGCAACAGATTTAGAAATTCAAAGTCGTGATAAACCCCAACAGGCCCAGTCTGGATGGGGGTTTGTCTGCTATACTCAAAGGAGGGGGACCCTTTTTAATACTCTTCCAATCAGGCTATTCAAAAAGCAGATATTTTTCTGCTTTGAGCACAATTGCCAATCCATACACTAGCTAAATCATATGTTAACTAAACCCATAGCTATTTAATTCTTCCATTTATCTGCACATGGATGAGACCTGCAATACTGCTAGGAAAAAAAGGGACAAAAGTATTAGCACCTCTAACAAATGCCTTCACATTGCCTGTTCCTTCGAAGAATCCGGGATCAGCAGGTTCAGTTGGTACACAAGTCAAAAAAGACATTTGTGTACCAACTTCATTAGGGAGGTATGTGAAGAGAACCTCCTGGCAAATATGGAAAGAATACATTTGGAAATAAAGGACCCACCTATGTTTGCAATCCTGAAGTACATCTTTGTATTGCCACTAAGATCATATAGCGTAGTTTCCATGACAGGTGACAGAGTACAATGAATAGTAACGATTTGTTCTGTGTTGGTAAAGGCATGAAAGGAACAGTACTATACTATATATAAAGCATCAGTACAAATTAATATGGAAGTTAGGAGCCAGTTTGTCCAGTCCGGCAACCAGAAGGATTTTTTTTTTTTTTTAGGAACCAGCTCTATTGACAACAACTGGAGAAAACCTCCAAAGTTAGGCGCCAGCTGTAACTATTAAGGCTCCTCAGATTTGTCCAGCCTTGATTTAAATGGCAACACCAAGGCCAAACAAATGTCCGTGCCATGTAAATCAGTGGTTCTCAACCTGTGTAACCTCAGGACCCACATTTGTCCTTGGTCTTTAAGTCGTGACCCAAGTCGCACTGCAATGGCACAAATGGCATTGCGGTACCGTGCATTCTGGTGCGGGCGGGAGGTGCGTTTAGGGTGCCATTCAAATGAATGGCAACGCAACTTCTGCACCAGAACGTGTAGTAGGTGCGATTGCATTGTACAGTGCATTAATGGCACAGAACTGTTCGATTAACGCACTGTACTAGTGTGAATGGGCCCTCAAAAATATTGACAGACACAATCTCACACATATACTGTACACGCGCCCACAAATAATTTTTAATTGTAAGATCCACCCAGTCTCCCTACCTTACGAAAACTGGAGTGGATCCTCAGCCTGGGGTCCAGTGTTGGCTCCTGTGATGTGATGGAGCTCCATCCATGCGCGCATTGCTTGTACAGCTCCCTTGCGCACCCTGTAGAGGTGCCAGGAACCAGAATGTGACCTCACTCTGGTCCAGGCACCACTACAGGACATGCGAGGGAGCTGTAAGCATTGCATGTATGGATGGATGGAGCTCCCTAGCGGCCACAACTACAGCCCACCTCAAGCTGACACTCGGCAACATATTTCGAATGGCTGCTTGGCGCGAGAACCGACAGCGCTGCGCTAGGAGGCAACTGAGAAGCTTCTAACCTAGAAAAGTGGAAGGCATGTGGCGACCCACTGAACAAGATGAACAACAATGACACCCAATAACGGGTGGAAGAAGAGAAGGAAGAATTTAGTAGTCAGTCCAAATCTAGAAACATATGGCTTTCTGGCATTTTCCTAATCCAACCAGTACACATGGAGTTAATAGCAAAGTCAATAAACATTGCAAATATCCCAAATCACAAGAAGCCCTGTGGATGTTAGTGGCAACACAAAGTTCTTTTGGCAACACATTTGCATCATAAGTACCTAAATTAAAAATATCTATACTAGAAGGTCTTTGTGCTGTATTGATCATCAAAAAAAATAACTTTAGCTGTCAACTGCCAAAAGTTTAATATGGCTTGCCCATTTGCAGAAAGAGAATAAAGAAGCTAAAACAGAAGACAAGCATATGTGTAAAAAAAAGAGCTACTAGTAACACTCAAACATATCAGCAAGTTTCCCAATTTATCAAAACTGAACCTATTAATAGGGATATATAGGGATGGGGATGTAGGCACTCTCACAGTTAGAGCACTGCTATTTTTCAATAGATATTCCAGACAGTTACATTGTTCAGGGTACTGCACAATTAATATTTTTTTAACTGTTTCCTGCAATATAAGAATTTTGTTGGATCATTTGTACTTTTACTTTCTGTTGAAAAACTTGCAGCAAAGGCTTTAAACTTTATGTGCGCAAAGTAGAAACCTGCCCATGTATTTTAACGTACTTGCCTTTACTCAATGATTGCTAGCTTACAGCCCTCGTCAATACTGTGCCATGCATTGGACCTTTAGTTAGTGTACAGCAAAGGTGTTTTCCTTCCCATTCTACTCCTCCCAGTAATTAACCCCAGAGCACAGTAAGCCCCTAGTGCCCAAACCTGCGCCCCTTTGGTACTTACTGTGTGACCGTTGGGGTCATGTAATCAGTAGTTTGTTTTGATACTTAAGAGAACTATGGGGTAAGTGTTTTTCCCCATAGTTCTCCTAAGGGACACGGGAGGACACAAACTAGCGTCCTCCCGTCACCCAAAGCTCAGTATACCGTGAGCATTGAGACCGCCACAGCTGGGACGGATCCGGACATTACCGTCGGGATCCACCCAGCTGCATGAGTGACAGCTGGCTCTGCCTATCTACAGGCAGAGTCAGCTGTACCCACCCCCTTGCCCTGTCAGCTCTGCCAGTAAGCGCTGGAGGATTGGAGCAGTGAGTGGGGGGATCCCTGCAGGGAGCCGTGAGTGACAGTCACAGCTCTCTGCAGGGACAGGATCGAGAAGTGAGTGAGCGACGGTATGCGATTGCTCACTTCCCAATCTATTGAGCCGACGTGTAACAGTTTCATTGACACACGTCGGCTCCAACTATGAGGTTGAGTGAAAATCACTCACATCATAGTTCTCCTTTAACCCAGTGAAGGGAAAGTATTAATTAGACCGCCTTCTAGTAGTTAAATGGTATGGTGCATCTCTTTCACACCATATTACATTTTCTCTGCTGTCCCTTTTCTATTTTTATTGTTTTCCTCTAATCTTTTAGAATGGATATTGCTGGGAGGAATATCAGATGTGAATCAAGTCACTTTTAAGGACTGTATGGGGCTCAAATGAGAAAGCGTTGACTTGTTAAGACACCCTAATGGCAGTAAACTCTAGCAGTCTCATGTAACATGTCTCTTGTCTATGACTGTCTCCTGAAGCATGTCACCAGTCTCCAAAAACTCTTACACCATGTTTACAGACATTGATCATCCCCTGCAGTATGTCAGCATACTGAATCTGTAGCAATACATTCACTGAGAATTGTGTACGGCCCTTTGGTGATGTCAGGGCCACAAGCAAGTTGACCAACACTGTCTGAAGCTAAATGTGTGCTACGTTTTAGGTCTCGCCAGAGTATGGGAACTTTATCATTACATTTGTGAATACTAGTAGCTCTTTTTTGCATGAAGTAGCTTGTATTTTAGTCTTAAGCGTATCAGCATAAGCACAGTTCAACCAGCCAACGTTACATAGCCACCTGTAGGGACAACGATGGGACATGGTGATTTGCAATATCCGCAGTCCTGTTTATTTAGTAACCAAAATAAAAAGTCAGCACCATGTCTCATACCGCAATTAGCCAGGCAATGCCTTTGCGCAGATTGCCTGGTTAGTCCCTGCTTTGCAAAGAGGCCGGTTTCAGGTTAAAGCACAATTCCCAGTTCCATCTGTGCAGTAACGCCTCAGGTCACACATCATGACAATCTCCTACCGTTACCCTGCTGTTGCTGCCTGGGTTCCCTCCCAGCCTGTAGTTGTTGTAGGCAAGATGGCTGTATGGATTGTATCCCACAAACCCTGGTGTGCTGGGCAATTGCTGATGGAAACAAATGAGACAAAAACACGAATGAGAAATGATTTCAAACAAAAGGAAATAAAATATTTAAAAAAGCAAAAAAATAAAATCACAAAAATGAAAATGGTGCATATGGCATGTTTAAGAAGCTGTGGAAATTCGTCTATTAGAAGCTGAGCACAGAGACGTTTGGTTGGAGGGGGGACCGCTATTGCAGTATACATATCTTCAATGTAAGATTGTCATGACCATTTTAGATTTGAAATCTATATGGCCGAATCGTTCACGAGTTGGCAAAGTGGGAACACATATACAGTGGTACCTCGGTTCATGAACGCTTCTGTTTGTAAACAGGAAGTTCAGCAAAATGTTGCTTCCGTTCGCAAACTCTGCATCGGGTGACGAACACAACCGCAGCCATCTTCCCTGCTCAGACACGTGGTCGTGGCTTCCTCTAGTCGAGATCGTGGTCTGATCACAGTTTGATTCAGTTCACGAGCAGAATCGTGGCACAAATTAAGTTCCTGGACCGAGGTACCGCTGTACTGTGTTTCCAACATCTCCATATTGTGCAGTGCTGGGCATCTAAATGCATGCTATCTCCACCAGGGATGGACAAATAAAGGCAGAATCACAAGTCAAAAAGCCAGAAGGCACTTTAAGAGGAGGAGCCGGGGGAACAGAAATGGTTCCAAACCTAATGCAACCTACAATCATTTAGGGACACAGAGTGGCCGACCCCCTGCGTTGATTTTCTAGATCTGATGCACACACATTTTCAAACCAGCAGAATAACTATGTTTATATTCCACTGACAATGCAGTTTACCAAGCGTTCACCGTAGTTAGGGGATATCAAGTATTCCAAGTATAGAAGCTAAACAGCAAAATCTGGCATTCCTGTATCCGCAGGTGTAATGACCGCCGCGAATATCATTTGGTAGCAGGGGTGTGGACATTATTTTTAAAACTACATTCCAAGGACTAAAGCGAGGGCCCAATCTACTTGCCCCTCATGACAATCTACTTGTCAGGATACACAAAATAATTTTAACCAAAACCGCATTTAACTGTGCTAAGAAGCGCTTCTCATTGCTCAGCGAGGTCAGGTGACCGCGCTTACCAATGAGTGCTCACTATTTGCAAGCGAAATTCAAAATCCATAGTGCAAGGCTGCGCTTGATGGCAGTACGGGGTATGGGCGAAGGGGAAGGGCCGTTCGCCAAAAGGCAAGTAAAGCAAGGAGGGCAGTGGGGGCCAGATTTCAGCGGGGAAATTCTATTGTCCCAAAATTTGTTGGAAAAGTGAACCTACCCTTTAATGTGTATTGTGCGTGTTAGAGAGCGCTGCTGCCCCACTGCCAGCCAGTGGAATGAGTGCACACAATGCCCATTCACATGCAGATGATGGGGCAGCAGGGTTGGTTTTAATTTTTTACGTTATCACTTAACTTTTTGTTTCTATCACGCAGGGGCTTAAAAGCCCCTATGTGATAGCATTGGGAGGTGACAGGTTTTCTTTATGGAAGTCATTTGCCATGGTCCCGGGTCCCCCAAAAACCATGGTGTGTGTGTGTGTGTGTGTAAGAAGGCTGCTACAAGGGATCTGGGTAGCTGTACCGCCACCCAGATCACTTCTACAAACGGGCAGTGGCTCTCCAATTTACATTTGGCCCTGCTTGTGCACAGCACGGCTAAATTAAGAGGGAAAAGAAAGACCACCTGGCCGACACCCAGGCACCTGGCGATAGGACTTGCGCACCACTGCGTAGTAAGAAAAATCATATGCAACCATTGAGTTCTATGGCATCTGTAAACCTGTATAGGTTGAAGATTTATACAACCACGTGAAGGCCTGTAGTGTTTGGCTCATGTCATAGCCTACCAATCAGGCTTAATCAATCTTTAACATGTATTAATCCTAAAACCATGGTAGAAGAATTGGCAGCATCAAATTACAAAATGAGAAACAGAAAGCAAAAGCTTAAACGATTTGAAAGTATCCAAAAGCCGGGGCTGTTGTACATGCAGTTCATCACATTGCACACAAGCACCACAAACACGCAGAATGACGGCACGCATCTGACAGACACACAACATGTAATTATATGAAAAGCAAGCATGGAGATTTGTTTCATATACAAAGCTGATAATTTCGGGAAGTGGGGGGGGCTGCCCATTAGGAGAATATCTAATTTTAAGTCACATTCAGATGTGTTTAAAATTAGTGCACATCCATTATCTGGGTTTAGGAATTGACTACTGCTGGAGACGTTTTGGGTATGGCCGTTTCCGACAAATAAACATCCAATAATAATCCTACTAAAGCAAATAAAGTGATTTATTGTTCGAAAACAGGCAACCATTTCAGAACCCATGTCAGGAGGAAAACATGACACGCGACAACCTCTCCTAATTACATAAAACATTTCAAGGCTTGGTTCATGATTTATAGAATATACTTACTGCTGCTGGTGCCGGGGTAGGAGGCGGAGCATATGACGGCCGCTCTGTTAATGAAACATGATAAATAACGGACATTATTTATCAAAATGGCAAATAAAACATGTAAAATGATAAACTTCCATTTAGAGAGTACAATGCAAATCTCAACACCGCATAATAGTGAAGAAATGGGAACACCTGCTAGAGAAGAAGTGCAATATGGAAGCAAAGGGAGGGACCAGTTATAGCCCTGATTGAGGGGGGAAAAGAAACCTCAGGTAGACCTTCCATGTACACAATACATACAGATATATATATACATATATACACACACACACACACCGCGAGCAGGCAACCTCGGCGCGCCAGTTGTTGCGGAACTATAATTCCCATGAGGCGTTGCAAAAATTACAGCCACATTCATGACCCCCAAAGGCATGATGGGACTTCAGGTTTTATCCCAGCTGGAGTGCTCAGGTTGCTGACTCCCTGATGCACACGATCCACAATGCTCACCCTGCTCCATAAGTGAAGTTTGTAAAAGCAATACCTAGACTTTAATCGGTTGTGAAGAGTCTAAACCAGGGGTCTTAAACCTCCGGCCCTCCAGCTGTGGTGAAACTACAAATCCCATGATGCATCTCTCTTCAGGAGTCATGTCTGTGGCTGTGAGAATCTTGCAATGTCTCATGGGATTTGTAGTTCCACCACAGCTGGAGGGCCGGAGGTTTGAGACCCCTGGTCTAAACCCACGTCTCAATGCTGTACTGATTAACTTTCCTCTCTAACCCCCCCCCACCACCTCCCCCCTCCTCTCCTTTCTTTCCCAGTGGAGATTTTCCCCCTATTTGAGTTCACAGGTTTACAAACGGGAGGGACATTGGGATGAAAAGATATGGGGGGGGGGTTCTTGTTTACTCTCTTTTGCCTCATTCACACGGGAAACGGTTGGCATGTACAGATCCGTGCTGGGTGCACGGCCGTATCGGGCATCTCCCGGGAAGGACAGGTGCTTGTGATCCTGCATGTGCATGTCAATGCATGTGATCCTGTCTGCGTCCGAGCTGGGACACCCGCACCCGTACGGACCTGCACTTGCAGTGAGCGTAGGGCGGCGTACTCCCATAGAGAAGGACAGGGGCTGCGTACTAATCACATTTAGCACCTGCCCTTCCCGGGAGCTGCCTGATACAGCCGTTCATGCAGCACGGAGCTGTACATGCCACCCTTTTTCTCGTGTAAATGAGGGCTTAATTTATGTAAATGTTGCTGCCTCAAAGGATCTGCTTGTTTGTGTTGCATTGTTATTGTAAAACAAAATAATAATAAACAGTTTGGAAGAAAAGAAGAAAAAAAAAAAAGAGCCACATTATTTTGAAATAAGGAGCTGCTGAATCTACTAAATAATCAATTGATCTACTTATTGTCAGCTTGATGTAGAACAGGCTCTTGCGGTACACACAAGGCAAACAATTGCAAGCTTGCAGTGCATCACAGCATCTAAATAGGTTTTTCTTCTAGTCAGACCTATTCAGACATGACATGCTGAGAAGGAATGGCCAAACAAAATGTAAAACTTCTCCACAGTTCCTGCTAGAGATACAGATAACCCATAGGAAGTCTGCTCATAAAGTTTGTTACTGGAGGCTTATGGGATGTTATCTTATATAAGGCACTTAACAGAGTTGAAATGTCAGAAATCTGTAAACAGGCAAATGAATCATTAATGTAGAATAATACACAATATAGGAGGGAATTTATCAAACCTGGAACACACAGAATCTAGAGTGGTTGTCATGGAAACCAGTCAGCATCTCTCTTCAGTTTGCTCAGGTAAGATATGAAAATGAGAGAAGCTGTTTGGTTGCAGTGCAAATCAGCTCCAGTTTTGATAAATTCCCCCCATAGTATATTTTGTTACTACAGTAATTGTAGCAAGATGGCTACTATCTAGAATAAGAACACTTGAGTAGGTTTAAGCTTGGGTTCAGAGCTCACCTGAAAGGAAGCCATTGGTGCCAGTTCAACTAGGGCATTCCCCACTCCACAGCTGCATGTAAACAAAGGGGCGGGATCTAGTGACATCATTGACCTTATATGGCCACATTTGGTGTAGAAAATATAAAGTCAATGATGTCAGCAGCATCCCGCACCTTTGTTTACATGCAGCTGCAGGCAGGGAATGCACTGACCACAGCTGATGGACCAGCAATGATGGCTTCCTTTTTGGTTCAGACTGAATGCCATCTCATCCCTAGTAATGAGAATAAATGCCCTGACTTCAACTTGTCTCACACCCTCATCCCATGTCATCGTAGCACGTATGATCACCAATATTGCTTTACAAAAAACAACGAAGCATGTTCATGTTCTATTCATGTGCCCGCTTACTTGCCGACAGAAAAATCTTAAAGTGTCTGATCTCACTAACTTCTCCCATTGCCAAATTCTGTATAGACTCCTTCAGTGAGACAATCAAGGGCAGCGCACAGCAACAACAAAGCAGCTTAGATTGTGCCGACAGTAAACTGAAATCTATTCTACGTTCTGAATAATAACATAAGATTTATATACATAACATGACTTACTTGACATGATTGCCAATTATTTTATTCACAGTTCACACTGAACCTACAAAACAAGAAAAGATATGCATGTAATAAAT